AGGTAAAGGGTGGCCGGCTCGAAAGACTGACAACCTCACCGCCATCTGTGAGCCGATTGTTTAGAGCAAATGTAGGAGCCTCGACCTCTCACATCCCTATGGGCCTTTACGTCGTGTTACAGGTATAGATTTTATTTTTTTTTACCTATCATGTCATAGCTTCAATATTTAGAGAACAGCCTCTCCGAGAGGGAATGTTGCATGTTCATGTAGCACGCATTTGGAAGAAAGGTGGATATTTAAAATTTAGTAAATTAGATCTCAGTAGTGATATATCACCATTCTATTCCGAATTCTTGTCGAAAGAAAACAACTCAAGGGCCCATTCATCTCATATATACAGTTTAATTGTAAAACGTAAGATTGAACGTCGCTAATAATGGAGATTAGATAGGATTCGATCATGGTCCACTAAATCTACACTACATTGTCGAAGAAATTGATAAAACATTGTAAAATAACCGACTAACAACCGACTAAATCCAGCCAAGTTCATGATGCCATATTTTCTTCACGTAAATTTTAATCTTACCGGTGGTAAACTCCGTTGATATTCAACAGGGGATATTTTCTTTCGTGTATTCTTTACTCCTTTCTACTCTTTCATGCATTTACCGCATCTACGTTCCTCATTCTCGGTGATAGCAGCGAACCCAATTGCATATTATCCTCCAGATGACTCAGTTCGAACGCAGAACAATCACTTGGCTAAGTACCTGAAAGTATTTCGAGATGAGAACACCATAACGTACAAGTATAGTCAGGTAGTTTTGTTAGTTTCGTCGGGTGAGACTGACTCCACTTGGTACGTCGTCCACTAATTGCCCTATTATACCAGGCCCGGAATGTGGAATGAGAATCGGCAGGGGAAAAGGAAGTACTTGGAGAAAACCTGATCTAGTGCCACTTTTTCAACCACAAATCCCACATCACCTGATCTGGGCTCGAACCAGGGCCACCGCGGTAGGCAACGGGCGATTAACCCCTTGAGCTAGGAACGGCGTACAGTCAGGTAACACACATACATAATCTACATGCCCTCTACTATTATACATATATACGCGGTAGCGTAGTTGGTTGAGGCAGTAAGCTACAAGCCGGAAGGTCGCAGGATCGAATTCGGATGAAGTGGATTTTTTCAATTTACCTAATCCTTCCAGCCGCAACTATGGCCCTGGGGTTGAGTACAGCCTCTAACAGAAATGAGTACCAGGAATATTCTTGTGTCCGGCGCGTAGGGCTGACAACGCCATCTATGAGCCGACTGTCTAGAAAATGTAGTAACCTCAACACCTCACAACCTCATGGGCCTCCACGGCCTGTTACAGGGATACCTTTACTTACTTTTACAGGGTGAAATAAAATTCGTCCCAGGCTCTCCACTGTTAATAAATCAAGGCGAAAATCTTATAGAGCATAAGTGCTGAGATGCCTGGTTTTCGGTACACGTGTTGCCGTGGACTAAAGTAGCAAACTTCTCGGCACTGTTATTTGTGAGCTGGTACTTATGCACCGGAGCACGCGCTACGTCTTCCTGGTCAACGTAATCCAGAAACTAACGAGTTTCGAAGACTAGAGCAGCGTCTTCGTGAAGCAGGAAGTGTAGTACCAACGTCCCATATGAATTCAAGTCGTCCACGCACTGTACGGACGCCAGCCAATGAAGATGACGTAACTGCAGTTGTGGAACGAGAGTCGTGAAGAAACTCACGCGATTTCGCATCGAAATCTGGATTATCCTAACAGACAGTCCTCGAAGTACTTCATGGCTATCAATTAAATCCATAGAAATACTCGCGGAGATGTTCGTCCTCTAAGGATTCAATTTTGCCAATTGCTACGACATCAAACCCCTGATAAGGAACTCTTTCTAAACAATATTCTGTGGCAAGATGATGCATGGTTTTTATTTGCGAGGGTAATTTCAATGCCCTTAACAGTCACTTCTGGGCTCCAGATAATCTTCATGTCATCAGCGAACGTATTCAGCGCCAGATTAGGACCGCAATCGTTAAGGACCCTGTCTGTTACCCGACAGGGAGACTGGTCAACAATATTGTAATTTTCTGGAAATTGACCTGTTTGTAGACGCGTCCCTAGATGTGAAGCGGAGGCTGTGGTTTCAGAACGACGCTGAGAAAGAAATCCGGATGCAGCTGAACGCGACATATCCAGGAAGATAGATCGGGGAGGGCGTCGACGGCCGAAAACATTGGCCTGCTTGGTAGCCGGATATAAATCCAATAGCATTTTCTATGAGAATACCTGAAGGAAACGAATTATTCAGTTCCTCGCATGACTATCGAAGTTCTCGTCGTAAAATTTCAAGCATTTTGTTCCTTCATTTCGGGCAGCAGGCGAGCAATCGTTTATTTCATCTTCATAATGTGTCGATATAACTTTTACTGTAGTCTTCAATGCAATCCGTTCTACTTCTGATACCAGTTGTCACGTGTATTAGTGATTAAATACGGGGTTCGGATTGTTAGTTGGATTCATTGACCACGTACAAATCATAACTACAAATAATTATAACACTCTTGCCGATTCTCACACTACAAATCACTCCATACTGAATATTCTCAGTGAGCCTTCACTAAACTTCGTAGCAGTTCTCAACAATGACTATTCATCTGCAATATTTTCACTATCCGTTTCCTGGCAACGGATTTCATCACAGGAACTATAATAATCACTGTACTGCAGCTCACATATACTTCCATTCAAAGGCTGACTTTCAAGTGTGAACTGACCTGCACTCAATAATTCGGATTCCGCAATTCGATTCCTTTGCCCCAAATCTCATATCCTGGCAGGCTGGCACCTCGAGATCGACTGCTTAAAACCGTCTTCCATGTTTTTATAACCACTCGGCACGGACCACAGCAGAAAACACAACCTCTATACTGTTGTGTGACGTCACCGCGTACACGAGAATGTGTTTAGCGCGCTTTGCGTAGCAACGGCTGTAGGCGTCAAGTATCGTGACACCTCCTCTATTGTTGCGTGCGGGAATTACCTAGCAACGGCTGATATTTACAGAGTCACCTCCCAGCAACGGGTCTGTACGCCACAATATCATAACACGCACATAACTACTATTAAATACCAAAATCCAGTTTCTATTTATTTATACTTATTTATGGTTTATTAACTCAGGCTGTGAGTCGAATGGTAGAACGATTATGTCAAAGAATACTGTCACGACCTAATATGAGGTACTATTCCGAAATCTTCGGAAGAATTGAGGGAAACCAAAATAGCCTAAGTTAGGAGAGTCCGAGTGCCAGCAGAAATTGGAACCAGACAATTTCCGGGAGCTTAACCGTCTGAGACAACTCATCAATCAAACACCAGTCATTATGCTGAACAATTAGAAAGTCTTAAAGAGTGAAATACAAAAAATTAAACGCTAATTAAATTTCACAAAGCACTGGCAATTATTTCCTCCTACACCAAATGAAAATTAAATCTGGATGTTTATAGACAAATGTAACAGGATAAAATTTTTAATCCTGGTTTCTGTTGTGTGCATTTTGCTTTGTGCGAATACTTACCGTATAGCTGAATAAAAATAACATTATTTGAATAGCCGACCTCAATAGCCGCACTGTACAAGGCATGAAATGTCTTTGCCCACTTGAACACTTGGACCATGGGTTCGAATCACATTCAAGGCATTGATGTCTGTTTGGTGTTTATTCTGTTTTTGTGTTAGGTAGCGGCCTTGCGACGGGCTGATCCCCCGTTCAAGGAATCCTACTGACTGTTTAAGATAAGAAATTAAATTTAAACGAACGTTTCAAAGATACCTTATTCTTCAAGTTGGGGGTAACATAACAGAATAATAATAATAATAATAATAATAATAATAATAATAATAATAATAATAATATAACAGTCGTTCTTTGAATCTAATTTGAAACTAATATTAACTATATTATGACGTCGTGTCAACTGCTGAGACTGTGTAGCTCTAGAATTACTGAGTAGTGAGTGTGGAGAGATGTGACAGAACCTGTCGTTGCTTATTTCATGTTACTATCGATATATTTGGTTGGAGGCCGGAGAAAATCCGGAAAAATAAACCTGGAGAACCAATACTCCATAGGAATTCTAAGCACGTGCTTCCGAGCGAAATTCCGACGCCATTATGCTTGACGAGAAGTAATGTCCTGTAAATAATAAAACGGATTTCCGAAACAGTTGACGTAACCGAAATAAATGCCGAATAAACGCAAAATTATATTGATTTGTATGTTGCGTATGGAGGAGCACATGACGCCAGAGGTTAGAAAGTCATCTCTCATTCAGGGCAGTTATTCTTCCTTGTGGCCTGTATCCTTACATCTAGGAGAATTGACCTGGTACCTTCGAATTTCTGAAAACGTAGGATCAGATCTTGAGACAAGTGGACTTGTGGCACTCTTGTCTATGAGCGAAGAGAGAAACTTCCTGAAGATGCGTTTTGTATGGCACACAACACTCACCTATACGTAATCCGCCAGAAACCTACTTCATGAAAATGATGGTGCTGAGAAAAGTTGACTTAAATTGACTTAAAGTTGCTATGGCGATTACTGTCTTCTGGGATGTGACGCCGTATAGTTTGGTTGTAAATTGTTAACATTTCAGGGAAACTTGCTTCTTACATCTTCAAGATAGAGTGTTACCCTGAAGATGGAGGCGGTAGATTCCTCCGAAATGTTCTTCCTGGATACATAACGTTACTTTCCATAGACAGCAGTCGTTACAGTCACGGCCAAGAAAACTTCAACGTCGGGCATGTAGCTAGTGCGTTGGTACAGGAGTGTACAGGAGTGTACACGTGGCTCCCACGTCTGTATAGAGTGTAACATGTAAACGTTTCTCACAACGCAAGTAAAACCCTGACATTCAATCTTTTCCACGTAACAACAAAATATGCTTTTAATAATAAAAGTCCTGGAATTTTTAAAACAATTTCTTTAATTATAAATTCACATTATTATTATTATTGATAAAATACATGTATCTTACCTTCATTACTGTTCTTCTCAACGTTCTCAAAACTGATTCATACACGCCATGTGCATTCTCTTGAGACACAAATTTTTATTTAACAACAATTGTTTTAACATCAATATATGACAAGTCTTGTCAGTTTCTTTATTTTCTCGACTGTATGTACACATCGCACCACAGAACACCATGAAAGTGTACTGTTTAGTCTGCTCACTTTAAGATCAAGTATAAAACACGTTGTTAGATCAATTAGGCCCTCAATATTGGGCAACAAACTTCAAAGTACGTAGAACTGTTTGCAGTACACGTGAGTTTAAAGCCCACTGCTACAGTCAGGAAAAGCTCTGATTGACTGTGTAGCTTTTACACTGTTGCCACGTGGTGTCTGTCATGAGAAAGTAATCACTTTGTTTAAGAGGCACATGCTGAATGTTGTCACCATTCCTGACATTACTGCAGTACTGGTTTATGCCATTAAGAAAGTGAAATTGCCGATTTTCTGTAACATGGGATATGTGAAAGTAAGACTTTTATTAGAAGACCATGATGCATTTCGGTCGAAAGGGTAGTCTGAAATCAGAGCGAAGATCATTCGGGTTCATCATTCACGGTTCAATCCTTTGAAATTTGAAGCTAAGTCCATGACGAATGTTTTAACTTCGATCCTAAGCAGTAAAGTGGAATTGTTCTGTCAGCGCGCACTCAGATGGAAGAACTCTCCATTTCTCCGTTCATGTCAGGACGATTTCTCATCCTCCATTTCTCCCTTCACGTCAGGCCGATTTCTGATCCTCCATTCCTCCCTTCACGTCAGGCCGATTTCTGATCCTCCATTTCTCCCTTCACGTCAGGCCGATTTCTGATCCTCAATTTCTCCCTTCACGTCAGGCCGATTTCTGGTCCTCCATTTCTCCCTTCACGTCAGGCCGATTTCTGCTGTGTTAAGTTCGCTTGACGGCTCCACCATTTAGAAAACTCACCATGATTACAACAAAAATAAATAAACCAGTCTAAGTTTGATGAAGATCTGTGACCTGTACGATACGGATATTTATCCATATTGCGCAGTGCCCAGTACGTCACACTCTGAATATCATCCTATTCAATAACAAAACGTAAGTGAGTTACTTGCACGCAAAACATCTCAAAATGAAGGATTCTCTCTGACAAAGGTGTCTGAATATTTACAGAAACGTGCCTTAGACTTATACACCGTCTCGTTGCCCAATTACATACATTCGCATTTCTCAGTTCATAATTCAGTTCATTTACCTCTTATAAACATAGTTACGTTTTTCATGCTGTTCGTAAGGGGAATATCGGAATAACCAAACAAACAAGCTGTTATTTTTTCATTTTATATTCGTTTATCCAAATTTTATATTGTAATGTGTAATGGATGTTTCACTGAAAGAAATACAGCCCACTGCTAAATGTATCATTTAACAGGCAGATTTTTTTTATAAATTTGGTACTTTTATGATATATTAAGAGCTTTCTAAAAGGTTTTCATTTAAAAAAGGATGAGATTTTCATTTTCTTCTTTACCAACGTATTTCGTTAAGTTTTGTTAAAAAGAAACAGAACTCTGGGAGAAAAGACTAAATGGTCACGTGTCGACTGAGGCACGAAACTGGGAATACACTACGCATTGTTTGACTACTCATTCAATTGAGATTAAACTACAGTGAAACCCAGATAAAGTAAACAAAACAATGGCATATTTATAAAAATATATTAATGCAACGTATATGCACCCTGGTGACCTTAATTTGTAAGCAATGCATATTTAAATATGACATTGATAAATGTGTATACACACAACTTTATTCTATTTACCGATTTTCCTTTGCAATTCAGTTTCTAAATTTTTAAACTTTATTTGCAACGTCGCCATATTCCATATGCTTCTTCATTCGATCTGAAAAATTATGGCCCTATTATTCACAGTTCATAACAACGTACACGATTCTTTTAGCACACCGTTACAGCACACTCACGGACGGACAAAATCCGCAATTTTAGTTTCTTCCGCCACCTTCTCAAGTAACTGGGGTGGTGTATTTACCCAAGGATTCAAAGTATACGATTTCTAAGTGTGTGTTTGTTTTCAAGCTTTAGAAACATGAGCAAGTCGACAGGACATCGTCTTAATATGCGCTGGATTTCACAAAGTTAAAAGTGAATCACACTCGTGGACTGTCTTTCCCTCTGTCACGGGGTCCATCCCTTATTTGCTTATGCATAACTCAGGCTGTTTCCTTGCACTGTGCAGGCTTTATCTCTCTCGAAGACGGCCGTCGTTGAGTTGAATTTGTCCCAGGACGACGCAGTAGAGGAGACAGAGGACGATATGCGCCACGACGCCCAGTGAGCTTTTCGAAAGGGCCGCTGATCCAGTCTGCATTGCCGCACGACGCTCACCTGTTAACAAAGACGGCGAATTTCAGAAATTGGGGTAATCTGCCAGATGCATGTGGGTCAGAGGGTTGTTCTGCTGATGCTGGGGAGGTGGCTCACCTGGCAAAAACAAGTAGTCACATCCCATCCAACTGCCGAGAGTACAGTAGGTTCAGCAACACCAGCGTCACCATACTGATGGAACTGTTGGACAGCCCTGCCGATCCCGTCTGCATGGCGGCTGGGTACTCACCTGGCAAAACAAAACCGCATGGTTCAGATGGTTGTGCCCGCCGGAACACACTCCCGCCTGCCTGCTTGTCTGCTTTAATATCTCAGTTGCACGTTTGGAAACTTATTGCTAACTCGTTCAGCTGATAAAGAAATCGCATGCTTCCATTAAACCCGAATGTTCATTGTCGTACAAGAAATTTGAGGTTTCACAGCGGTGAAGATACAGGTTCTGGTATTTTAGGTTATGATACCGTTTATCCAGGAGCCGGTTTAGCGTAGTCGGTATAGCTACTGGCTACGGGCTGGACGACCGAGGGTTTGCAGTTCGAGTCCTGGTAGGGTCAAGAATTTTCTCTCCTCCAAATCGTCTAGACCTGCTCTGGTGTCTACCCAACCCCCTATCCAATGGGTAATGGGTTCTCTTTCCCTGCGGGTAAAGCGACCGGGGCGTGAAGCTGACCACTCACCTCCAGCTAGTGCCGAGGTCAAGAAAATTCCTCCATACGCCTTCATGGCGTAGTGCTAGGAGACATCGCCTTGAGGCTCTCTTTCTTATTCACGTTTATTTTGGCTCGAAATTCTGCCCTTCTGTTCTGGTAATTGTTGGTCTCCGAGTTCCTGCCCAGTATATCAGATACTTTTTATTGTTCAATGTTTGTTCCTCATCTAAAAATTGTCCCTCTGCTAGGTGTGCAGCAGCTGCTAATGTCATATGCAGGGGATGTTGACGTATTATCCTCAATCATTTTTATAATTTTTATTATTACTGTTATATGGATGTTGAGTTAGCACACAACTAAGTACGAATTGAGTTGTTATTATTAACTTCTATATGTGTATGTACGCGTACATCTCGCCACATAATGGCATAATCAGTGGAAATGTTCTTATCCTACTTTTCTCACATATTAATTATAACTTTATTTTCTCATGGAATTAATATTAATTTATTACTATTATAGAGACTGTCTTATTTATTAGTTATTTCTATGTCCCTTTTTGTACTCGTGCCAACTTCGTAATTGGCCTCTATGTTGCTATTTTGCATGTAAATAAACAAGAACTGAATTGAGCTGAATTAATATTGTAATGTAATATGAATTCCCTGAGGATAGTAGTTAACACAGGAACTGTACAACATGTTACAGTCATCGAAATTGTTTATATTCATATTATAGTTGCATAGTGAAATGCATAACGGCTACTGCGACCTGCGTACAATCGCATTACATTGTGAATCACTCCCAGGGAACAAATGTTAATATGTAAGGTTTGAGGCTTTCACGGCGGTGACTATGAAGAAAACAGTCTTCTGGGATTTGGCACCGTGTATAGTCTGCTTTTGCCGGTTCTCACGGTCTCTTCGCTTGCAGATTTCTTATATTTTTTATTCTACCCTGAAGATGGAGCGATACGTTCCTCCGAAACGTCGGTTAACACCACATATACACGGTGCCAAATCCCAAAAGACTGTTTTCTTCAAATGTTAATATTCTTTACATCACAGATAACTAAGCAACTTCATTATTCTATGACCAGTCAAGATCCAGGTCAGAGATGATGTCTCCCACTTAAACACCGAGGATGTGAATATGACGCCTGATAAGGGGACGTCGCACATCTGTGGAGACAACGCTAGTGAGTATCGAGAAATGATGGCATGATGAGAAACCATAAAAAAAAAACACAGAGAAACCGTGGTCTGGTAGCCACTTCGTCAGTCATGAATCTCACATTCATTCACTCTGTATTGGAGCTGGGACCCGTGGCGAGAAGACGGACTATGACAAGATCCTAGATCACATCTAATGAATTTAATCATAATTAATTTACCACTATGGATTTTCTGCCATAGAATTTACCCATTCAAATAAAAACAGTTCGGACTAATAGGCCGTGGGAAGCAATTACGGCAGAGCAAATCTTTCAAGTTACTGCTTATGATGATCCAGATTACAAATTGACGCGAAGACTCGAGACAGACAGCGTCATGATGCAGGAAACCGATGATAAATTGAAGTCACCGTACAGTCGGAACGCACACACAGCGGTATTACGTAAGGTTACTTGCATACATAAGTTAGTATGGAATATACAGAACTCCGACTTAACTGCGAATGATCTGTCATGGTAGAGGAAAGAGAATAAAAACGATAACCTCTCCTTCTAGAATGTTCGAAACAGACGCAGAAGGCCGAGTAGAATTATTGTGAAACGTCCTAATAATGGAACCTTTGACATATTAGGCCGAATGATAAAAGTAAAAAGTAAAGTAAAGCTATCCCTGTACCAGGCCGTGGAGGCGCATAGGGTTGTGAGATGTTGAGGTTCCCAAATTTTCTAGACAATCGGCTCATAGATGGCGGTAAGGTTGTCAGCCTTACGCGCCGGCCGCCCTTTACCCCCAAGGAAGATTCCTGGTACTCATTTCTGTTAGAGACAGAGTCAACCCCAGGGCCATAGTGCGGGTGGAAGTATTAGTTCAATTGAAAAAATCTAATTACCTCATCGGGATTCGATCCCGCGACCCTCCGGCTTGTAGCATAGTGCCTTAACCAACTACGCTACCGCGTGCCCCCAGGCCGAAGGCTATCCAAGTAACATAACCGAGAGCAAGTAATAATAAACTCCATACGCAGAGTATCAATCTGATGAATTAGGCGCTTGAATGATATTTCTGATAGGAATTTGAACAACGTCTAACAAAAAGTGACAAAACCATAAAAATTATGAAGCCACATCTTTACTTTGATAGGTGGGGACTGGGAATGCGATCCATTGGAACATGAATCCTGTTAGTAAGTTACTGCTATTGTCATGTATCCGGGATTGGCGTGATAGATTCGATGATTGGATTTAATTGCACTTCTTTACAATTCAAATCAATCATGACAGCTCACACCCAGTGACTGTTGAAGGCTCGCTTCAGTCCTTATTGGACCATGACCGTCTTCCATTCTACTGTGACGGCTGGCGAGTCACTGCTCAAGCAATGGACTCCTGAGTGACGTCACTCTGACGAACCTCGCACTGATCTCTCATTGTCCCGAATTCACGTGTGAACTCCCTTTTATATTTGCCACGCAGCTCGAATATAAGTCACCGTGTAGAACAGTTAATTGTCATCTGTTATTCTGTCTGTTGTCACGGGAATGTCTTTGTTAATATTAGTTGCAGCGGAAACAGGCGCCGTTGCCTAGCAATGGATTAGTCTGTCAAACTATTATTAAAATAGAATTATATTGGCTAAAAATAATATTCTATTATATTCTAATAAGGAACACGACGCAAAAGTAGAGGAATAGCCAGAAAATAGACCGAAATTCTGTCTGTGATCCTGTCAAAATAAAAGCATTAAGGGTTGCTGCTAAACAAACCTTCCCGATGTTATATAATAATAAAGTAAATCTGCAGGAGATGCAGAGATCTTCGGGATGTTTGTTAATCAAATGATTCTGAGCGAACGACTTTGTGTTTGCTACGTAATTCTCAATAGTCATGTAAGATTTGAGGTTTGATTAGTCTGTTTGCACCTACTCACGCTGGTTCCTCGCTCGCAGATTTTCTTTTTTCTTCTGCCCTGAAGATGGAGGCGATGTGTTCCTCCGAAACGTCGGTTAACACAATATCTACATGGCGTCACATCTCAGAAGCCTGCTTTCTTCATTCTAAATAGCCATGATTCAGTAACCGCGACGCGAAGCCATGTTATTCATAATTTTTTTTTTCAAAATCACTTGACTGACAACCCCCGCACCCTCCCGAAGTTTGGCCATTTCCTTCAAGACACTCTCTCTAAGAAGAGAAAAATTTTGTAAAGATGTTTAGGCCATTGTTGGGAAATCGTCCGGTGTTGGTGGAATTGGCAAGGGGAAGGTTCCTTCCTCCTGCATCAGCATTCTCTGCTGTCAGCAGGAAACCAAGCAGACTACATCCAAAACGTAAATTTGCATGCACCATTTAATTTTGTGCCGCTACAATTAGCATGTCAAAACAGACCAGGGACAGAAACAATTTTCAGTAAATTACTTTACTGTACATCCAATTAACTTCACTGACTGAAAGGGCAGGATAATTAATGACTAAAAAATACACAAATTGCTTGTGAAATCATCTGCAGTGCATAGTTACCAAGCACCAAGCCAATATCCTTATTGGGAACTCAAGAACTGCTCGTTCCAGCAATTTGAAAATTTAACTATACTGAGGAAGTCGCTGCAATGGTACCGGTATGGATTCGTATTTGGGAGACTTCGGGTTTGAAACTAAGTCAACCTTTATTTAATTACTTTTATTGAACGGCTATTTATAATGTATTTTAGCGTCCTGTTGCACTGATTTCATCCATGATATGTATACTTTTTAAATAATTTTATAAAGGCAAGCACTGAAATAGATTAGCGTAATTGGGGCACCTGATGATGGCACTATGTTGCCGAAACATGTCGTGAAGTAACAGGTGAAATTGAGTGCACTATAAGACGGCAACTGTATACATATCATGGCTATTTATAGACCTCATTCTGTGGCTCAGAATTACGGGATGATCAGGTGAATGGATTAGAAATGATTTCGAATGAAAAGTCGTTGCTAACTTGGCAATGTGACCGAGCTTCTGGCTACTGAACAGGCGTTTCGTGATATTTTTAATTTAGTACAAGAAATAAAGTCTTGATGAAATTCGTCTCTGGTTTCATTGGAAGATTCCAATAGTAGCGGAACCACAGATTTTAAAAGGTCAGAAAACTGAATTCAATAAGCGGAAATTATTTAATGCGAAGACAAATGGG